GTCACGGTGGCCCTGCGCTCACCCAGCATGGGCTGCGTGACGTGCAGGGAGCCGTCGTGAGGCTCCGGGACGATGCCCAGCAGCTCGCAGAGGAGCGCGTAGACGTGCACGCTTTCGAAGGGCTCCACCACGAGCCCTTGCTTGAAGGCTGGCCCCACAGCGCGGAAGATGGTTTTCATGTTCATGTCCTCGTTGTCGAAGCCGTGTTCCCCCGTATTGAACTGCACCTTGTATCTCTGGAGGGCAAAGAGGATGTGAATGCCCCAAATGCATCAGGCTCTGGCTCAGAACCCCAAAATGCAGCCCCACAGAAGCAGAAGTCACGGAACAGAAGCCCTGCTGCGTCTTCCACCCGCCTCGCATGTGGGTCTTGCACACCACATTCTGCAGCTGATGTTTGCCTGATTTCTCTAGATTTTGTATTTTCGGTCTGATAATGTTAAACTTTGCTGGTGGGTGCTGCCTAGACACAGCTCTCAAGCAAGTGCATCCTGGCTCCCCCTTCAACAGCAGTTGAAGATCCCCGCTCAACAGCAGTGCACCCAAATTTTGTTGGAATGGGGAACTTGGCAATGGGCAGCTGCCTCTGCTCCTGGCTTTGGGCCGTTTTCTTTAATGCTAAGCTAACAGGGGATGCTGTGTTCATGCAAGTCCTGCTCCAAGACTTCTGGAGTGAAAGGGAAGTGAGATCTTGTTGTCTGAACAAGAGAGAAAGGAAGAGCTGGAATTTCTGTTTGCAGAGAGACTAATCGAAATGAAAGTACAAAGCCTGGTAGGTACTGGAATGATATGCAAAAAGAGAAAAGGATAGATACAAGAAAAGACAGTGAGATATGTCTGAACATGCATCTTACCCCATGGATCACGTATCCTGGATCACTGTACATCAAGAGCGGCGTGATACGGGAATTATTGGCATAGTGGAATCTCTTTGGAAACTCTTCTTTCTTGTACACATGTAACTTTGGGTGGGCATTTTTCAGCACTGTATATACATGCTCTAATTTTCCTTCTTTGGGCACCAGGAGTCCATTTGGTCCATAATCTAAGAGTTCAAACTGGATGTCACTGAAGGTGAAGTTTTCCACCGTCCGGAGGTGGATTTCGTTGGTCTTTATGACAGTGTCCATACCATGGTCAGACGTGATGACTAGGTTGAGGGTTGATTCTAGGCCGCTTTCTGCAATGCGTTTCCGTAAGTAACCCACGGTTCTGTCCACCTGGCTGACCATGGCTTTTCTCTGCGTGGATTCAGGGCCGTACTTGTGTCCTGTGGAGTCTGGCTCGCCGAAGTAGAGGGCAATGAAGTCCAGGTTGTTCACCGTGAACCATTCCATCACGGTGTCGATGTTCTCCCTCCAATTGTTTTCATTGCTGTAATTGAACAAAAGGGGCTCTACCATCTTCATATTCACTTCCTCCCCTTGATAGGTTGCTTTTCCTCCAGGGAAATAGATGGAGCCGGTCTTTAATCCCTGTTAGTGAAGACATTGCAGGGCATAAATTCACCTGAACTCACCCTGCAGATTCTCTCCATCTTTCAGTGCAACCAGCTACTAG